ATTTACACACACATATATATATATATAAAATATTAAAATGACTAACAGATATTCAAGGAAAGGTCAAGAACCTAAAACAATGGATATTAAATAAATTAACGGTCTATCAGATACAGAAAAAAATAATCCCAAAACAAAACTAGTAATCAAATGTAATAATTGTTCCCGTTAACATCATGTAACTGACTGAACAAAATCAATGCAATCAGGTGCAGTACACTCGGTATAGAAGATTTTTCAAAGTTCTCGTTAGGGATCTCTAATTGTTCGTTGTGTACCGTCGCTTTGCTGCAAGAGATTTGCATTTCCCATCCTCTTCCCCTCCCTCATTATGCTTCGGCATTTCTTGATCACATCGTCTCAGCTCTAGACAGGACAGCGGTTGAGGATAATACACAGAACCCACCACGGATTCTTAAAACATTACGTCCATATATGGACCAAGTATAAAAGACAAAAATTTCTACAAGGACTAAACGGATAGCAGGTTGTGCTTACTTTCTTCCCTCCCTTGAAGTCGCCTGGCCATAGTAAGCGGGAGTGTATTTGTAAATTGAAATAATCAGCCATTTGGAAAAAAAACCTCCTGCGATTAATACCCTTATCATCGCCACACCGATTCGTTTTGTTCTAACGCAATTTTAAAAATAATGGCTATCCTTAACAAAAGAAGCAGAATCTTTGCACGGTAGCAGTCACAACAAAACATTTAGATACACCATTTTGTCACTTGGCTTGCACGCTCAGGTCCCAATTTACAGAATCCCAGCAACGAAGACAGCAACGGAAAAGGTAGGAAACAATCTTTTGTTCGTAAGGAAATTCTAATTCAAGTCAGATTTCCGCTGATCGGTCAGATAACTCTTAAACAATTTTTTTGTTTGAAGGCAAATATTGATCACAGTTTTGTTCAAAACCAAAACCACAACAACAAAAAAAACAACGGCCTTGTTCTTCTCAAAATGAGCGCTTTGTAAGAAAACAATGATGATTTCTAAAATATATCCTGTGTGGTCTTTTAAAAGTGAATTATCAAAACACATTTTCCCAAAAATAAATTAGATAATTAAAAAAAAAAGTCTTTTCCAGCATAGCTGGACATTAGGCTGTCCTCACTGAGCCATTAGTATTGCTGCTTTTCCCAAAATTTGGGTCATTTTTTTCAAACCATATTTCAGCCAGCTGTTGTGTGGACCCATAAGTTGAAGCTTTGGACCCCAAGCACATTTTGTATTGTTTTGGATCAAGATTAGGGTCACAAAAAACAGGGTGATGCACATGGACTACTCCAATTTCTTGGCTTCGGAAAGTTTTTAAGCCAGCTTGAATGACTTTGTTAAATAGGTCTACGTCTTCAAGGCCCCAACCTTGGATGGAGACATCAAAGCCACCTGCTCGAAGAAGATCACCTTTGTAAATACAGGTAATACCAAAGCCATAGTTCCTCCAGAAACCTGTTTTCTGGGTGAAGGCAAAATGATTGTCACTAGGAACTTTTCCACTATAAACAATCTTTGGATCATACTGGCTAAAAATGATGGGAAAGTATACTTGTTCACCCAAAACTGTATTGGCTCTACACCGCTGGAGGAATTCTGTGGTAAACACTAAGTCAACGTCACAGAAGAAAAGTAAAGACTCGTTCTGGAACTGAGAAGATCCGACTTCCAGAGCCAGTGCCCTCGAGAACTCCCCCGACACCGGTAAAACCTGCATGTCAGCCTTGGGGTATTTGGAGCGGTAATCTCTCATCAGCTCGATCTGCTTCACTTTGTCAGGGTTGGAGTTGGAATTGAAAAGCAGGACAACCAGCTTGACGTTCTGGTTTGGAATGAGGCACGTCTTTTCAAAATTCCCCATGAACCTTGCGAACATGTCAAAACGTCCGGAGAGAGGAATCAGGATGTTGATCTTCTTGTCTTTGAGTTCCTTCCTCTCCACTTTTGATCGGCTGAGCTGGAAGGGAACAAACATCTTCAGCGAGTTGGAGAGGAAAGACAAGGATCCAGAATCCTGGTTGATTTTGCTGGCCAGTTCTTTGGCGTCCATCTCTTCGTGCTCCATAAACTGGATCTTGCTGAACGTCTGCTGCAAGTACGCGTGCCTCCTGACGGGGACGGTCATCTTCTTCCCCTTATGCTTTTTGTACAGAAGCAACAAGTCAAGAACGTACTCTGCTCCGTACATCGGATTTACTCTGCGATAGCCATACTGTATTTCCTTGAAATCTATGATCCTCCCCCGGGTCTTAGCGTTGGCGTTGATCATTTCCATGACCTGCATAACAATGTCATCCAACGCTTCACGCTGAGAAGAGTCCATTCCTCTCCGAGGGGGCTGCCCGTCAGCACCCGAATACAAATACTTTCCTGTAAGAAACTCCCACTCCAAGATTTCTTCCCGGTGGCGGGGCTGGAATCGCATGAAGGAAGGTGGCATTCCCAGCTGCAGGTCATCTTTGTGGATTTCTGTATTGCTGTATTTGCTCATCAGGACAATTTCCCGGTGCAGCTGCACAGTCCGGTGGCGCAGCTCTGCTATCTTGCGGCTCAACATGTAGCTGTGAAGTCTGTACTGGTAGGGGGGGTTCTTATTGGGGTGCAGCGTTATAGCTCTGTGTATTTTGCTGTTCCTCAGGTCTCGGATATAGCCTTTTTTGTTCTGCTCATAATTTTCATAAAACAGCTGCTGCATCTAGAAGAGAGAAAGGAGAAGTTAGTGTCTCGGCAGTGCTGTCCTTGTGAAAGTCAGCCCCCGCAGCCCCCCTGGGAGAAAATTCCTCCTTGCTCGCAGGGCCAGAAGGCTTTCTGAATAAGCTGTTCTTGGTTTTAGGCACAGGTTGTAGCAATACCAGCTGCTATTCAAGGAAATTAAGAGGATTATTCATTGTAAACTAGTAAAAGAAACATCCACCATGGATTTGGGATTACTACAGCCCGTTCTAGAGATACCACCGTTGGCCAAACTGAGCAGTAAGTAGACTGTAAGCTCATTTTTTCACAACATCAACATCACAATACAGCATCACCAGGATAAAAAGAACCATGAAGCGTTCACTACAAAACTCTTACTATACTTCTGCCTCCCATGGGCTTTAAGAATAATAATAATAATAAAGAACAATACAAAAGGATGCCATATACATAGTAAGCAAGTATGACAATGCCTTTTCCGTTACACCCAAATGCTGTTCAGGCATTAGAAATCCATCTTGCTGAATGTTTTAGCCAAGATGCTAAATACGTTATCTCAAGCACTGCAGTGCAAAGCTACAGTTCCCCTGTCATTTTAAAATGTCAATAGAAAGTAAAATGCACCTGAGATTCCTAGCAGCAGTTCCAGAAGGCAGGTAATACAGGATGCATATGTATGCTAGAATAAAAGCATCCTTAAAGTGGAAATTGCTATTTCAAAACAAGAAGATAACGAGCTAAGATTACATTCAGAAACCTTATGGAAAGCCACAACTTAAGAAAAGCAGGCAAACCGGCTTTACAGTTTTCAGTAGATCAGGCAGTAGCTGATATAATGAAAGGCATGTGGAAACCAGGATGATAACGTGGAAAATAAGCTGGAAAAAAAAAAACCCAAGAGAAAAAAAAACCCTCAAGGCCAAAGTTATGTATCAGCCTAGGCAACGGACATTTAAAAAAATCACGGGCTGATTCTACGTCACAACACAAATGTCATCAACCTGCCAGAGGAGCTGACACAACAGATATAGGATCCAATCTACATTACTGGCAGCAGAATTTGCCATAGGTAATACAGTCAATAAAGCACATGTAAAAAGGCTATAAAGATTAGCAAAGAGCTAAAATCCAAAAGACGAACAGAAGAGAGAATGACTCAAACATGACGGCAATTAAAGGGAGTGGTAAAAGGAAAATCACAGGCACAGAAAGCTCCCTTTAACAGACAGCGCGAGTGATGCTTCTACCAGCTGTTCAGACCCAGCAGAAGTCCTGTTTTATTAGGCCTTCAGTTGCATTTTTCCCATTATTGTGCACAGACATTGAATCTAAGGGATAAACTTACACCTGGATTTAATTGCTGCTATCTTAACAAACCAGATGTGCGCATACTGAAACCTGAAATTCAGCATATCACTGTGGACAGACAGCACAGGACCAAGCTGCGTCCACTTGAAGCAGCTCGCATGGATTTTAAACTGAACAAATGTAATCCATTTCAAAGGAGGGAGGGAGGAATTTCAGCCGGACTGAGAAAGGAAGGACATTTTTTTCATGGGTCACCACCAATCCCCCACCCCTTCTCCTTTCCTGCTCAAGTTTACCTTCTTGCCCACTCTCCCCCTCTTTCATGCTGTCTGCGAGCAATTCAGGCCAGAGGCTGCCTCTTATTAGACAGATCCCATGCAGCAACGCAGCCAAAGGAGAACATCTTGGCGATGGCCTCTCGGCAAGCCACAGATGAGCTGCCTGTCAAGATGTATATCCCTTTAGAAGTCATGCGAGATTTTAGAGTGCTACAGGCAGAGGTTAGCTGGTCTAATCCTATGTTCAGCAGACTTACCCAAATTGAATGAACCTTATGCTTTCCCAAGAAGCATGTTTTTCCACTCACCTGTTCTTCATTTGTATCCCTATAGTGTTTTCTCTACTAATAACACTTTATTTTTTGTCCACTTTGAACCTCGCTGCTTCTGTTAAGGGCTCTAGGAGACCTCAAATCACACCCACTTACGGTCAGTCCTGTAAGCACAATTTATTACAACAGAGAGCTCACACAGCAAGAACAAGACCAGTCCAACACTGCAGGACCCACAAGCATATTTTTACTGACTCCACTGATCTATCCTCTCTAACACAACATATATATATAGAACTAGAAGTATTAAATGCGTATGGTACAGGCTGGAGATTTCACTGACATTTTAACTACAATATAACTATAGGCACAGGCTTTCCCAAGAGTATTGTGACATTAGATAAAAATTCTTAAATCATGTCATTAGGCAACTATTATTTAAAGGAAAATTGGCAATAGGACTTAATTTCAAATCTTGTTTTGAATTTATAAGAAAACAAAATCAAGACCATGCAGCCTGAATGCATTTATTCCGAAACTGCCATCTAGGGCATTCTGAATTAGCTACAAGAGGAAACCATGAGAAGCAGAAAGGCTTTTCGATTACACAACAGAGTTTTAATAGAATACCGATGGGTAGCAAAATGTTATGAAACTTCCCAATGGAAGTAAAGATATGAACCCCTAGCAAATGGCCCTAAATAAAATCAACAAGTGTATTTTAAAGCTCTGGCTTGCCATGCAGGAGTAATCTCTTTGGTAGGCTGGTTAACTTCTGAACTTTTAATACTACTTCTTGCCTCTTCCAAAAACTAGCTAACTTTGAAAACTGAACTGAAAATAAAACACATCTCAGCAAGTCTTTACTGGTGCTTCAACGCAAAGCAATATACAACTGAAACATCTATTAACAGCCACCTTGCTCCAGCCAAAAAGGTGACAACTCTAACAAACCCTGCGCTCCAGCCAACCCTGCAGTGCAACTAATGAGAAGCACCCCAATAGCCAGGCTTTTATATAATCCTGTTTTTCAGAAGAATGCCTTGCAAGGCTGGCACTTTCACTGTTTTTCCTATGAAGTTTCCTCCTCTCCTACTCCAGCGTCCCTCTTGTCTCCTTATTCATCAAGTGGCAACAGGCATGGGATGTGCCAGCATCCTGCAGCCCCAATCCCCCATCTAGGAACCAAGGTACACCCCACACCGGTAGGAAACCCATGGAAGGGTATCAGAAGGGGTCAATCAATTCAGAGAGTATAACAACTTACAAACTATTTTTGCACAGCAGCATGAAGTGCTGTAAATGAAGTCCAAGTGGCCAGCAGCCAACAGAGCAATTTAACCCTTCCTGGGCCGAGGCACCTGTGGACAGTGACCCAATGCTGCAGAAGCACTGTGACGCCCACAGGCTTTCCTTCACAATAAGGAGCGCCACGTGATTTCTCACCCACATCTACAAAACTTGAAAGAAATGAGCGCTTCCCTCCATACAGTTTGACAGCTCCACCAACATGAATCCATTTAAATCATTAAGGCAGAGCTAGTCCTCGGCGTTGGGTTTGATCACTAACAAGGGCAATGTCCGACTATCACCCACCAGTGCTAACGTAGTTTCTACCTCGTTTGGGTCCAAAGCACTATGCTATATATTACCTATTAGCACACACGGGCTTTTGACTCCACGCAATACTGGAAAGCCGTAAGCAAGACAAAAAATCATAATTACCTCTTGTGTACATCATTAATAGAGATTGGTAGGTGGGAGAAGACAACAGAGAAATTTATTTGTAATTTCTCTCTGTAATTTGTTCCTCCCACGTAGCAGCCATTAAACATAGACACAGGGAGCAACACAAGCACGTCTAACAGACATTACGTGCAAACTTCCTCATGCCTGTTACCAGATTCTTGCGAGTTGAACTCTTGCAAACTCTTCTTTCAGTGAAACAGGTTTCTGTATGATTCTTTTCAAAAAAAGAACCTTTCATGGATATTAATTTTGCAATGATTATATTCTAAGCATGCTTTGTTCTCGTGCAGAGCACTGAGAGTGTAGGGATACAAAGAAGAGCTACTCTTTATTGACCACTATTTACTCTAGACCTGTTGAAGCCTTAAAAACCTTAATGTTCCCCAAACCATTAGAGACTGAATGTTTAACCTGTGGTACAGCTGTTGTGGGCACTACTGGCTCGTGTCCAAAAGACCAACTGAAAGGAGAGAGTGTTATGTTCTTCGTTTTAAATGAAGAAGTCTTTTGCAGGCCAAAAAAAGTGTACTGGAGAAAATGGACTTTAAAAATAAGACCAGTTTATGCAGAAACTGGCCTGCAGCCACGGATTGGCCCCCGAGGGCTTTCTCTCACAGCTCCAGATTGTACTACCACAGCCCAGAAAAAGCAGCCCCACAAGTCTCATGAAAAGCAATCATGGACAAGACATGTTGTACGGCAGGCTTCGAAATGCCCAAGATGGGCTTTAAATACAAAGCCAAACTAAAAGCTCAAAAGATGGCTAATGTCACCTAGTGTGTGAGCACCTCATTTGGGAGGAGATGAGCATGTAGGTTCCTCTCCGCAGCTGGTGCAGAGCTGTTCTCCTACGGGAGTAAGGCGGCTGCCAGGACAGCCCTCACCCTGCCCCACAGCTCTGCTGCCAAAACTATGCAGGATGCTCGCCCCCATCTCCTTCTTGCTCCTCCTTCCAGAGATGCAGCCGTAGCGGTGCAAAGGGGCAGTTCCTGTGGGTTGGCTGAAGTGAAATGAAAGATGTTTTGCACCCACATCCCAAGTAACTGTATGAAATAATTGTGGCTGCACTAACACAGCTTTGCCACTTTGGAGTGATTAACCAAAACAGATCACTAGTTTTCTGTTTTTTAAATCACCAATATAGCTAAATTGATAAAATATTTTGCTTGTAGACCCAATGAAAAGGAGCAGTGGGTCTTCGTTTACTGCTGCCCTACCTATGGTGGAGAGGGAGACTGTTGTGACCTCCCTAGATACAACTCTGTGTATTCAGAGTTCTTATTAACGATGATCTTTCCGTTTTAAATCCCGATGCTTTATGTGCGATCCCACAGCTAACCACTGACATGACTGAAGTCACTCCTGGGCAGACTTATTATGGTGGAGACAAACAC